TGTGCCCTATCGATTATATCCTATTAATTAATATCTCAATGAATTGATGCCACTAAGAAACATATTGGCTCTGGCCATAACCGCTATCTCGTGGTGCCACTTGGCAGCAAAACCACTTGGTTCAAATGGCATCGGGTCATAACCGTTTATCCTATGGTGCCATTTGGTGGTAAAAATGCCGGTCAGAGGACACGTACTGCGTCCTTACTGGCAGGAGAATATTTGAGAATGGATAATAATAATATTTTCAACTAGTCATTAAATCTATATGAGCTGGAGTAAATTTCAATTTGTTCTCCTCAGCAAACTGTTACGAATGGTGGATGAGTTTTGTTTTAACTGATTTGATGGTTGAATTTAAATCTTAAATATTTGGATTTGGAATTTTGGATATTTGGATTGATAATTCGAGTTGTGTCGACTCCTATCTATTCATATCGAAGGATTGGACTCAAACTACATTCATTTATTGACCCACGCAGTATCCCTAGATGTCATGTGCGTACTCTTAACACGCTCACCGGGGGCACATGCGGGTTTTGTGATTGCACATACCCCTTGTGTACCTTTGTGTATACAAATAACGGTGTATGTACGGGGGCATTTTAAGATGTTTGCATGCGACACAAAGGGGTGTCTAGTTGCATAAGTGACTATTATTACTAAATGCGCTGGGCTTTATTTCAGACTTTATTGACGCCATATGTCTGCTTATACAAAGGCTATATATTCAGTGGCATGGCTTTATATTACGGTTGTTTATCCATTTTGTTCACATAGACTGTCATGCACTACTTGTTGTTTCCTATCAATGGATTGTAGTGCACTACTGAATCTCCTTCTTTCTCTTATTGGTAACTACATTCACCACAGGCTTGATGCCTCACTTTTGGCAGGCTGGCTGCTTTGCATGGAAATCTTTTAACACTACTCGTAGTCATTGTACTTAATATAGTCACTTTGTATTATTTCCATGGACACACACATGGTGTATGAAGAGTCTTCTTCTGCCACGAATAGCTTGTGAATGTGTTTGCATTTGCTGCATTCTCTCTGAATTTTGGTATGACAATTTGTAGATGTGTGGGTGCTCTCTCTCTCTCTCTCTCTCTCTCTCTCTCTCTCTCTCTCTCTCTCTTACAAGTCCTTTGTTGTCTTTGAAAATAATAAGAGGGCAATAAATTTGTTTATATGATTGATATATGCATCCATCATCCTCATTTTTAAATGAATTGCATGATATTCGTTTGGATATATATCACCGTCATTCATGCGCACTCACATGTATTCCATAGTTGTTTGTAAGGGATTGTCATTTTCCTATGCTAGCTAGTTGATGTTGACTGTAGGGATATTCTAATGTTGACTGCATAGATTACCACATTTATCACTGATCCTTCCATACATACTGACTGACGAATTGCTACCTTCATTATCAATCTCTTTATTTATATTGATTGGTGTTTCTCTCCACTTGTTTGCACATGTTTCAGTATTTGTAGGGCTATCATATGCATCCCTAAGACAACCGATGTTGGTTGTAAGGAGATTTGTTACATTTACAGAGGACCCACCACACCTATAGTTTACTTAGTGTAGCATATTCTGGCATTTGTCATGGGGGATGTTATCATGTATGCTTCAGATTTTTTGCCATTTCTTGCAAGTATTTGAACTCAATACAATCCGATGTCTTTGCTCATAAGTGATGTATTACATACATTGTAATCTTCTTTCTAATCATATACATTAAGTTATTGTGCTCATTGTATACCAGTCCCCCTCACTTGTAAGGGTTTGATACATTTATTTGCATGTCGACTTGTATTGGTTGTAGGAGGGTCATACTTCAACTTGAACTTGGTATGTGCTCTTCAAACATTTTTTCTTTGTAGTGCTTATACATTGATGTAGTGGAGAAGTTATTACATTTATTGCATATCTCCACTCATACACTTGTGAATGCCCAAGTTCATTATAAGTTCTTGGCCTTCATTTCTAAACTCTTCTTGCTTATTGCCATTCATCTGAATGCTTTCCATAAATTCCCTTGCATTTACTTTAGAATTTGTTATCTTAAAACTATGAATCCATCTTAAGCATTACATTATGTTACTTGTGTATATTCCAGTTCAAGTTTAAATTAAATTCTCATTCCGCTTAGTTCATTTAAGTCAAGTCCTTATTATTGTTCCAATTTAGTTCTTGTTGATCATTTTTGAGTTCAAGCTTTAGTCCGCAGTGCATGTTCAAGTCCACTGCGTTATTAAAAATTTTGGCAGCCTTCCAGCATCTCCCCCGTTTAGGAGAAACTATGGAAAATTGGGTCATCCCACCACGCTACTCGAGCGTATATGGTAGGTATCGGGGGACAACGGGCCGTACATCTTTCATCCCACCATGCTACGCGAGCATGTATGGGGCCTTCAAAGGTACAAATAAGAAAACATAAGTGTCTTTCCCCACTATGCTACAAGAGTGTGTATAGGGATTACCTACCTCGCTGTATGCTTCGCACCAGACTCCCTTCTACCATGCTACGAGAGCATGTATAGGTGGTTTTCTGATCCTCCTCAAAAGTCGAAAATAGAATTTTTAGGTGATTGCCCGCCTTGTCGTAGACGCCAGACCATATTTCCTCCTACCGTGCTACGAGAGCATGTATAGGGGGTTTGTTGGTCTACCACAAACTACGAAAATGGAACCTGAGTTAAGGAGGTTATACCTTGGTGGTCGGTGAGGTGACACCGACGACGGGTGGCAAAAAAGTACAAAAATACTTCTCTTTTTTTCTTTTCTATATTTTTTTCTTTTTCTTTCTTTTTTTAAATCTTCTCTATATATACTTATAATCATGGCTTTTAAAATCGGACCGGACCGACTGGTTTAACCGGTTGAACCGCGAACCAGTTGATTGGCCGGTTACGGTACAAATGAAAACTTGTTTTGCAGAAAATCGGGATAAACCCGTTCAAACCGGCGGTTCGACCGCCGAACCGGTCCCGGTTTTTTATAACCCGTCGGAAAGCTTATACGCGGAAAGAAAAAAAAATGCGTCGACGTCTGCTCAACTCTTCGGCTTCGAGCTTCAACGGAGGGAAAACAAAATTCATTCGAAGCCTTCGACCACTTCTTCCCCGACGTGCAAAGCTAACAGCGTCGACGCCATGGTTACACCAATCCGTCTGTTACTGCAAGGGAGGCAATATAACCCTAGACCGATTCCAGCCTCAGTTGAAGAAATCAATGGGAAAGCAGTGGCCTTTAAGTGTGCTCAGTTGCAGATTAAGTTAAAATGGCGCGAAACAGCTTTCGAGCTGGTGCCGAACGGAATGATTAGATTTTGTTAGGAAGAGGGAATGCGAATGTGAGCCTCGTGAGCTGAATGATGCCCATTGCACTTAACTGATCTATTATTTTTATCTTTTTCCCTTCGATCTCTGTGTTTTTCGGTTATTTACTTATTTTTCATCTCTCTTTTCTTCTACTATTTATATGGCCATATGGGGGAATGAGAAAGGTATCTGAAGGTGGATGAAGCCCGGCCGAGAGTTCTACTTGTTTGAGAATTTTTGCAGTAAGTTGAAAAAGAAAGCTTTGCTTGCTGTTTTCTACCATGTAGTTTTTTATCTGACATAGTTTTCTACCTTGCATTTTTTATGTTGTAGTTTTTTTACCTTGGGTTTTAATTTGTGTATATGATTTTATTATAATATTTAAATATAATAAATATTTATTACGTCATCCGGTTCAACCCCGGTTCAACCCCAGTTGAACCATCAAACCGCTAACCTCTCCTTCCGGTTCATTGACCGGTCCGGTTTTCAAAGCCTTGCTTATAATACTAAAATTAATTGTAATATATAATAATAAAGTTACACAATACTATCTATTAGCAATATAACATTAAAATTAAAATTAATATTAATTATAATTTACATGAATAATAATAAAAAAATAGAGAGAGGGGACCTGATGGATTTCACGGCAAAAGAGGAACTTTTATTTGGTCCGGTGAACGCACGCAACTCTACGTTTGGCCGCCAGTAGAATAGTGCCACGCGTTTTCATTATTTACCGCGCGCCCCGACAATCCGACCCGGAACGGACCCAAGATTGCTCGGTATTGCTAGGTATTGGTCGATTTTGCTCGAAAATAACCAATACCGAGCAAATACCGAGTTGTACCGAGTTTTTTCTAGCAATACCTAGCAATAGCGAGCAAATCCCTAGCAATACCGAGCAAATTCTGAGCAAATACTGAGTTGTACCAAGTTGTACCGAGTTGTACCGAGTTGTAAAAAAACTCGGTACAACTCGGTATTTGCATGGTATTGATCTTTACAGAGCGGTATTTCTCATTTTTTCAAAGCAATACCCAGCAAATACCGAGCATTACTGAGAAAATCGCGAACATAGCATTCCTGGGTTCCGTTCCGGGTCAAGTCGTCGGACCGCACGGTAAAGAGTAAGAGCATGTGGCGACATGTTATTGGCGGGTCATAGGACGTAATAATTGTTTGCAAAAGAGAGGGTCGGGCCTGGGATAGAGAAATCGGGGCTGCGGATATGGCGGAAGGGACGTTGGGTAGGAAGTTTTATTGCGTCCTCCCACCTGACGTAGAGATACGTCCTCCCAGAGCTAAATTCGCGCTAAAAAATGAAAATACCGAGCAAATACTGAGCAATACCAAACAATAACGAGGAATATCATCATGTGAAGACCAATACCGAGTTATACCGAGCTATACCGAGCAATACAAAAAAATACCTAGTTTTTCCTAGAAAGAACTCGGTATTTTTTGTATTGCTCGGTATTGCTCGGTACAGCTCGGTCTAACTCGGTATTGGTCTTCACATGATGATATTCCTTGTTATTATCAAATAATACCTAGTAATACCGAGCAAAAACCGAGTTTTTTGACGGTGGGAGGATGTATCTCTACGTCAAGTGGGAGGACGCAATAAAAATTCCGAGGGGGTAGGGATAAAGCTCTCTCTCTCTCTCTCTCTGGGCTGGAGAAACCAGGGGGTCGGGCAAGGCTAGAGCTCAATTTGGCTAAGTCTTGCGGTGGATATGGTTGGAATTGGGTTGACCTGTGATTGGGACAGTGAGGTTAAGCAGCTAGGGTTCTGTAGCAAGGTGGAGTTTGGTCGGCTTGAATAGATATGGGAAGAAGCATTGGCTTTGCGAATGGAAGCGGCGATGGGATCTCGGATGGTTCGGCTAGGTCGTATGAGATGGAGAAGGGAGGAAGGTCGAGAAGCAGGTGATAGGGGATCGGAGGTGGCTACGGGGTCCTAATTGGACTCGGTCGAAGCAGGAAAGCTCAGGTCGTGAGGCTTGCGGGTTTGAGTTTTGCAGTTGGAGATCGAAGGGAGCAGAGGATGAGGTATGAAGGAGGAGATCGAAGGCTTGCTGGATGAGTTGTTAACGAGAGGACAAGCCGAGGTCTTCATTCGCCGGGCTTTTAACAATGCGAACAGATCAGATCTCCGCATGTGAGTGACAGGAAGAATCGACGCATTGCAGACTGCAGATTGGATTTGAGCGAGATTTGCGATCATTCAGCGCAGGATATCGGGATGGCCTCGACAGGTAATGATTTAACATATATATATATATTCTCTTCTGTTTTGGCTGGATTATGGAGGTGAACAAGAAATAGGATACAAAATGGGCATATACGTGAAAATGTTGAAATAGCTCCAATGAAAGATAAGATTAGAGGGAGCGGCCTTAGATGATTTGGTGACATAAAATAGGAGCCTACTAATGATTTGGTTGGAAAATAGATGTATTAGATTTGATTTATGTTAAGAAAGATAGAAAAAGACCTAAAAATTTATTTTTTAATTTTTAAATATATTAAAAGTACTTGATAAATATTAGATTGCTCATCCATTGCCTTAAGTTCACAAACCTCACCTCCCGGACTGTTCATGCACAAAGAGAAGAGAAATGACGGGTTCTGCAGTCCGCACGTCTGATTTCGCACGCTACCTGTTCATGCACGAGCTTTCGCCTGGTTCCGCAGTCCGCACAACCTTGTTCAGGTATGAGTCGCCTGATTCAACATGCCGTCATTCACGCATGAGCATCGCCTGATCCCGCTTTGTTTTCGTCGGAGGCCCCTCAATCAATCAAGTACATTGCTGTTGAGCTGACCTTTTATTTTTGTTGGTAGTAGTTTTTTCTTGAGCTAGCCATTTATTAGGAGCCATATTAGCTGATCTCTTTAAGATGTGATATGATTTGCACTTTAGAACTAGATCTGAATGGATTGATAGTTTGTTTGACTATTGTTGTGATGAAGCTATTGGTTTTTCATGGAGATTTATTGAAATAAGACTGTAAGTTTGATGGTCTATCTCAGATGAGTCAAACAGTCAATTGCTAGTGCTTCATTCTTTATACTGCCTGTGATTTCAGGCGGGTTCTAAATGTTCCTTTGTTCTTCGTGTGCAAGCGCTTGAGCTATTATAAAGACATTCGAGATTTATTGAATTGTATGATAAAATATTTTTGGTTGGATTTTATTCTTATAAATTTCTAGAGGTGGATTGAAGAATGTATTTTTCAGTTGGAGATCTTGGTATTAGCTGATCTATAATGAGCAGCTCCCATAAGTGATGAGGGTTTTTTTTTTTAAACCCCAATGTTGAAGCATTCAAGTAGCTACACAAGAGAAACTAGTTTTGGGGACTTTACAATTATTATTTTGGTGCTTGAATGTAGATGATCTCTTGTGCTTTAGATGGGGTGCCGCCCATTTGAGCGGAAATTTATCAACCCATAGTGTTATTTGAAGAAGTAAGACTTCCATCTTACAGTCGCATTCACTTCTTAAAATAAAAAGGTATCTTAAATATAAGGTGATATCAAATATCAAGTATGCCAACATCTGCTTCCTATGTATTTTTAACAACACGTGGCATTCTGTTTTATTGGCCCTTTTATGCTAATTGATTCTAACTTTGCTTGTTATTTTGTCATTGTTTGTACTTGTTATTTCGAGTTTTTGTTTTTGTTAATGTTTCCACAAATCTTTTACAAGTTTACATTAATTTTATTCATCTAATTCTAATGGATATGGTTGTTCCCTAATGACAAATCTTTTTAAAATTTTATTTATTTGAATTTGCTTGTTTTAGGTGATCATAAAATGTCAGATTCAATTCAATCTTTAAAATAAATCTATCATGGAAATATACAATACTGACAAATGAATCCGATAACAACTATCTCACATGTATTTTTTGTGGCAAAATAATAAAAGAAGAATTACACGCCACAAACAATATCTAGTTGAGGGTTTTAGGAATGGTAGACCTTGCTCTAATTGTCCCAAACATGTAAAATCTGAAATTAAGGCATCCATGTTGCAAAAAAAAAAAAAGATCTAAAAGAACAGATTAATGAAACATCAAATTTCAAACCTTGATAAAGGAGATGATTTTGATGTGGATTACAGATGATATTCTAGGTGCTTGACCATCCAAAATATTGAAGAAGATTTAACTTGGATAAGTGTTGCTAAGGCTAGTGATATTTATGATAAAAGCCACAACATTTGGGAAAGATCTGAAGGGAAAGAAAAGGAATCTTCATCTAGGCATGATACTGTTGATATTGAGAATGAGAATGAGGGTGATGAATAGGACTATGAAGTAGAACATCATGCTAATGAGATAATGAAATTTTTGTGATATTTGTTGATGATGACGATTCCCATGAAGAGTAGATTAAATTCTTATAAAATCATTGACCTTTAAAAAATGATTGTAATATTTTGAATTATGAGATATTTGGGTGTTGTTTACTTGAACATATATGACTATAGTTATCTTTTATTATTATGATAGTTTATCTTTCAGTTTAATGATATTTCATATTCATGCTTATTATTTTATAATTCATATATAGTTTATGTCATATTCAAAATGGCGCGTAAAAAAAAATTAAAAAAAAATAAAAAAAAAAAAAAAAAAAAAAAAAAAAAAAAAAAAAAAAAAAATATTCAAAATGGCGCGCGTCGTCGCACCGTGCACTATGCTCCATGGTTTCAAAGTGACCTTTGTGCCGTGGCATGCTATTCGCCGTTAACAAATATGGTTACAAAGAGAATTAGTTATAGGAATATATGGGTGCTTATTTGGTAAAATATTATAGTGTGGGGACCTCAACAAGGTTTGGTCCCTACAATAGTCAAGATGAATCAACTGGAGGAGGCAAAGGCAGAGGTGGTTTCTAGGTGGAACATTCAAATAAAAATAAATTTTATAAACTGCAATCAAGTTGTCTATGTTGTATGATATAAGTTTTGAAGATAAAAAAAATCATCGATAATGAAAACTAAACTAAGTATGGCAAAAATGAGAATACTTAAATGAATGTACAAAAAAAAAAAAAGATAATTAAGGAATGATTGTGCTAGAGATTGCTTGCCTGCTTGGAGTAGTATTCGATGAAGAATGTAATAGTTAAAAAATAGACTTAATTAGTTTGGATTAAAGTTTTAAAACTCAATTTTTATTTTGATTTCAATCGCAGCACCAAAGTTTTCTCTTTGCTTGTTTCAAAAGTTTCAACAATTTGTGTTATGTTTTGGTCTTCACTATTGGCTAATATTAAAATAAATAAAGAAAAATTATAAATGCTATACTCAAAATTTTAGAGTTTATTAGCCTAAAAAAGCTTTTATAATATGAAATAAAAAGAGTTTTACATGTAACCTTAAAATGATAAGAAAAAAACTATACAACAGAATGACTTCAACAAGTGATTTCTTATAATAAGTTATTCAGGGAAACTACTGAAGTATTTTGTAGATAGAGAATGTAGTGGTTTTAAATAAGAAAACTCATTAAATTTTCTGTAAATAAAAAAAATAGTGAAGGATTAAATCAAAAATCTGCACTGGATTCTAAATCTAATTTGGACACTGGACCACAGTCGTTCGAACCTAACTAATGCAGTGCAGAACCTGAACTTACCCCGGCCTGGATTAGGGAGCCAGCTAACCACCTAATCGATTTAAAAGAGATGAGTCTGGTCTTTTATGAAAAAGTGGTAGGGACGTTTTATTTAAAGGTTTCGGAGAGTTGGGGCCGACATCTAGAGATTTCCCTAATTGACCCCTTTGACTTATGTTGGGTGTAAAATTCTAAGTACTAATGCAATTAAAATTTGGACTCTTTTAATTTGTTTCTAATGTGATGCGTGCTAGTTGACAACTTCAAATCAAGTATGCTTGAAATTTTAAAAATAGCTTAGAAAATAATTTTTTAGAAGACTGGGTTTCCCCAGGTCCAGCACCTCGTCCTCATAAGTCAGACTATCCGGACTCTACCCGTAGGCGGGGAAGGGTCTAAATCAAGGAAAGAGTAATGCCGAAATTTGCATACGACCCTGGGGTCGATCCCTGGCTAATTTCCTAAATTCGTTATCTTTCTATATTATTTATACTCACTAAAATTTTAAATTTTAAGATTACGAGTATACAAATTTTCACACTCTCACAGTCTCACATATCTAGGCGAAAACAAAAGCGGCACACAAACGCCAAAAAGCTAGAAAAAGCAGGCAATCCTAGAGGCAATCATTTCAACACATCAAGTATAAACGAATTAATTAATAAATGTCCATAGGCAAAGTTGCCTTGCTTATTACAAATTAGAATTTTGCAAAAAGTAAAGTGGTCGGGCATCACTGACAACAATCCGGATTCTAAACCTAGTAGTGATCAAGTAGTTTTAAATGTGATACTTTCTGTCTTCAATTCTTCAATCTATTCTCCTTCAGGCTCCTTGGATTCTTCGTAGTAGACTATCCAAATGAATAAGATGACACTTCCTTTGAGGGGAAGACCACTCTTTCCTCTTTGGGTAGGAAATAAATGATCCAAATTTAAATCTCTAAATAGAAAAGGGCCACTCCCTTAAGGGGTGTCCTTTTCTCTTCAGAGTCCAAACTTTGAACATATGTATCCCAACTCAAAATCTAACTTTCACAACACTTAACACTTATTGAAATTATATTTATACCAAATCAAAATTCTAGGCTCTCCTGCAAGGTTATCTTAAGCAGTTAATAAATCAAGATATATTTATTCCCAAACAGTTATATATATGCAGAAAAGAAAGTAAACATATTGGCCACGCTCTTTTTATTTGGGGGCTTTAGCAGCTAAAGCACATGTGCAAGCATTTATAACAATTGATATTTTTTTATTGATTTAGCCCCCTTTTTATTACCCTGCATGAGCGTGGCTATCTGCAGAAAACTGTATGAACATCCAGATCGTACCTATCCTAGGGGTAGTTTAGTAGCCAAACACATCAACCATCCACATATTGCAGAAAAAGTAAACAGACACAGCAAAGCAATTTCATCCACAACATGCAGTAAAATCATGAAAAATTCGGCACACAGCGGTAAAGTAAATATCATCCTAACCTAGATCTAGAGTTGGTTATCCTAGCAAACCATCTACAGTGTGTGTAAAAGGTCGTGTGGCTGGGGTAGATCCTAGGTCGGGTGATTAGTTAAAGTTATCTAAAAATTCTGAGTTTGTTAAGGCTTAAAAGAGAATTTAGATTAAAGTTTAAATGTTAATATAATAAGAATTTTATTTAAATGTATTTTAAGGGTTAATTGATTACTACCTTTGTTTCACACCGAGGCCGTGAAATTTATTTCACATTCCTTGGGGCTATGCTAATAGCCTAGTAGACCTGGGTTACCCAGTAGCAATCGGGGTTGATTAAGTTAATTTAAATTTGTTGAAATTAAGAGGGGTAGATTATTATTAAGGGGAGTTGTTTACTGATTTTAAAGGATTGGTTAAGAGTTTTATTCACCTATTAGGAGAATTCTGAAGTTTGAGAGAGTTAATGAATTTTGGAGGTTATCCGGATATGCTAACTAAGGGGTCAAAATTTGATTTTTAAAATTAGAGTTAATCTTAAGGATTCCAGATTTTTAATAAATACTAGATCTAATTATGAGTTATTAGACAGGTGGCACACTCAATTTGGAGTTTCCTATCAAAAGTCATGATTTTTAGAAGTTTTAACCCGTTTTGACCTAAGGTTAACCAAAATGTTGACTTTTTGACTTTGACAAGATTTTGGGGGTATGATATTTTTTAGAAAACACTAGATTTTAATATGAGTCATTAGCCACTGAGTTTGATTGATTTAGAATTTTCTACAATTTCTAATGAATTTTGCAAGTTAGGGTATTTACTAGAATTTTCTAATTAACTTAATTCAAGGGTCCCTTTTAATGATTTGAACCCAAATGAGTTCTAAACTTCTTGAAATCAACCTCAAAGATCAGAAATGATCTAAGGGGAGATTAACAAGAGTTTAAAGATTTTTTTTGAATTTTTAATGATTTTTAATTAATTAATACTTATTAAAGACTGATTTTTATTAAAATTAAATTAAAGTGGTTTATAAAGCTAAATTAATAGGATTTGAATTTCTACTGATTAATAGATCAATTAGGGTCAGTTAGAGGTATTTTAAGGAAT